CCTGCCTGCAACTGCAGCTAATAATCCACTCTTAAATGTCAAATCTCAAGAGCCACTTTACTCTCACTTCTCATGTTTGTTTTCTGATTGTAAACCATTCAGGTTGCAGAAACATCTCTATGACTACCTGCTGGGGCTTAAAACCCTGAGAAGTTGCCTCTCTCTCCCAGAGGTATGTAGCCTATATCTGTCAGGGATTACCAGTGGTTTCCAAGATTGGCTGGGATCTATACACAATATTCTTTATCACTTTCGTTGTATCTCGGTCTTTGTGATACGCCCTGGAGGTGCTCTGAATTTTCACATTAACCTGACTTTTATTTGACATGGAGATGGAGCTGCAGGCTGTGCTAACAGAGAAAGCTCAAGAGTTGGCGTTTGAGTCTGATGTGTCAGCTTGAATCAAACCCTACAGCTCTGTTTTTCTATCTGCAGAGAAGAAGGTCGACCTCCCCAACACTGAAAGACACGCTAAGCATCCTGGTATGATGTTTTTTTTTCATCCCTCACTAACTCACTCCAACCTTCATTTTTTAAAATATATATAAAACAAATCAGTGTTTTTTGTTTTTCATTTTCCAGTTGTTGGTTATGGATTGAGGACCTCTAGTGGAGAGATTCAGAACAACACCGCCTTTATAAGAGAAGTGTCGAAGGAAAATTTCATATTCTGAATCCAACAAATCAGTCACTTTGTACTGTGTTTCCTGTGTTTTCCTCGGATGATGTTACTGCCACTGTCATCTTTTCTACAACCTCCCCGTTGAATTAAAAAACCTCTCTAGGAGCTAGATGACATTGTATTCGTAATAAGCTTCCCACGCTTACTCCTTAAAGTTTGACCTTTAAGCTGTCACACTGAGCGTGTTGGTGTCTCTTGTGTCCTGACGGAAACTGCTCATTATCTCACATTCAGGTTTTAATTGGAGAAATGAACTTTTTGCTTCATCTTTTCTTATTAGAGCGAAACAATCCCAAAAACAAAATCACCGTAAAGTGGACATTCATTATGAAAAGTATTCCTCTCCAAATGTCAGGTGACCCCAAAGCAAAATGAACAAAATGAACAAAATGAGTACTGTGATGTCTTAAGGGTCACATATTCTGCTAAATCCACTTCACCATGTTCCTCTAACATGTGTCTCTAGTCTGTCTACAAACCCCCCAATGATGAGAAAGTCCATCCTCTCCGTCTTCTGCCTGCTCCACTTTTCAGAAAATGTGTGCTCAAACAGGCCGTTTGGAGATTTTCCCTTCATGACATCACAAAGGGCAGTAGCCCCTCCCAGGTGGGTGACACTCCCACAGCTAGGTGTTTGTTCTGCCCTCTGAGTCTGCCTTCTCACCGTAAACAATAGGACATGGAGCGAGAAAGCACCGAGACACCCAAGCCTTTCCAGAAAGGGGGCGTGGTCAAACACAACTCATTTACATATTTAAAGGTACAGACACAGAAACACTTTTCATATCACAGTGATTGTTCGGTAAGCCCATAAGAAAAGGCATTCGGCCCAACATCACCATTTTATTCGCGGCTTCATTGTTCCAGATTATTTTAACTTAAAACTATCTTATTCTTGTTGCTGAACCATCTTGAATAACCTTTTTTTTCTTTTTTTTTTAAATTCCTCAAAGCTCTGTGTGTTGTTTTTTTTGTTGGCTTCTATTATAACTCAAATTGACTTCTTCCCCTAAGTCCATCCCCCCGGAGAAACAAAGGAGGAAAACAGGGGGAAAGTTTACGAGCTGAATCAAACTGCAAGCATTCGAGTTGAACAACTAGAAGCAACCTGATCTGTATTCCTACTGTACCTCACATTCTGCAAGTTTCATTTACAGAGGAAATAAAATACTTTTCTCGATTTTGGAAATATTTGACGATATCTTATCTGCTTAATTGCCGAAGGCGTCTTTCCATGAGTAATTTTCATGTTATGTTTGCAGAGTATAATTGTACTGAACAGGCTCAGTTGTGAGCACATTATTCTTTTATACTGTAAGTGAACAGCTGATGAAAAGAGGTTTATTCGTGCTCTGAATTAACAATGCATGAATAAAAAGCTGCATAATCTCCACGGGGTTTTACTGCCAGAGGCTTCAGCTTGGCAGAGCCGGGGGGGTTGTGCAGAGCCACTGAGAGAAGTCTGGGCGAAGAAATATGCACACCCAATATGCCTCAGTCATTATTAGAGATAATTAGACAGGAGCACTGAGAGGATGATGAGCTCAGAGAGGTAATGAGCCAAGCTGAGAGGAGACAAAGAGTAAACTTCACGCTTTCCTTTGACGGCTTCTGTTAACTAACAACAGAGAGCACAGGTGATCGTTTTAAACAGACGGAATCGATGAGTCATAGTGGGTGGTTATGTCTTTTGACAAGGCTTGGACCATGGCAGATGATATTCAAGCAACTACTACCATCATAATGAATTCAGGGAGGCTATTTAATGGCTCTTTGTTAAGCATAATTAGTTATGAATTAGAAAATGCAACCCAAGCTTCCAAAATTACCATAAAAAAGAGAGGGATATGTTGAGATTTATATGGTTTTCTTTTTAATACAGCCATTTCCTGAGCAATAAATCCTTCTTGTAACTATATTCAAGGGGATTTTATTTTTGTTTTACCACCACTGTTCACCTCTAAGACGTCGAAACAAACCCAGCTCTGTGGTTTGTTACTGTGACAAAGCAACAATTGAGAAATTAACCCAAAGTTCAAATATTTTTAAAGATTTTTTCAGAGGAAAAAAAAACAGAATGACTGTGCAGTTCCACAAAGGTGCCAAAGTTTTATTATCCAAAATTGTGGGGAAAGAGTTGCTGAGAGCGATAATTCTTTTTGCCTGAGGCCGATTATAAAAATAAAAAAAAGCTTATCTGAACTCTACTTCCCCCTCTCAGGAAGTCCCCTGCTGGACTCCGGTACCTTTTGTAGGCTGCCAAATCCAGAAGCATTGAATCCCCCCCCCCACACACACACACACACTGTGGCTCAGATGCTGCTTCAGAAGTCTCAATGGGGGACTAGTTGCATCTCACTGGAATGGATAATGTCAGTCAGTGAAAGAGAGATAATGCCTCTACAAAATAGTTTTTCCTGGATAAAATGTTACTGCTCTCTTTTGCAATGTTGTCCTTTACTACTAACTGCAGAAATGGGGACAGACAGATTAACATATTGACAGAGAATCTGAAAGACTTGATCTGGCCAAGAGTTGATTAAATGAATGCTGTTGAGAGCAGATGAATCAGTAGCTGGGTTAATTAGATGTAAGAAGTCCAACAAAAAAAAAATCCCATTGTTGTAAGTCGGCCACATTTGCTCCTAATGCACCAGCAAGGTGACACTATCAATTTAACTCTTTGGATATTTTCCCCTGCAAACAGCTCTCTTAAATATGTTGTCTCTTGGTTCATCAGATTGGTACCTCGTGGCAGACATTGGTCAAAGTTTTTACAGGCTTTCAACTGATACACATGATGGATTTTCTTCGTTCCTTTTTCAGAGAACCTGAGTTATTATTTTTTTCAGGACCTAAAGACAATTTCAACCAAAATCTTAAAAAGTGTATCTGGAGAAAATTACCAACCCTGCCTTTAAAGCCTTGGTGATTAAAGCCCAGATATATATATATTTTTTAAATCACATATTGGAGGTTTTATTTCAACATTTCCATGCATTAAAGGCTTTATATGTGATTTTTTTGATCCAGCAGATGTCGCCCTTGAGCACCAGCATGAGACCAAAACAACTCGCGCTGCATTGTTGTGTTAGCATGCTAATGCTAGCGATCTTTATTATGCTGGTATCTTCACACTGCATGTAAATTTACCTGAAATGAGCGTGATCTAGAAACACAGTTAAGCAGTGAGTACAGTATGTTATTCTTCTTTTCTCTAGTCCCTCAATTAAACAACTTTTATACACGAGGGGAGGAGTCAGCCGGCTGTCCTGGCGATGTAAACAAACTGAAGATAGGACTCTGAAAACATCACAGACAGTGGGACTCGGGTGTTACACCCATTGTAGACAGTCATGACTCACAGAGTTATTTTCAGAGGAGATACTTGATCTCTACATTTAAGTGTGAAAAATCACATCACAAAGACTTTTAATTGTGTAAACAGTTTTTAAACGGTGTTTTGCATTTTGAAATTTCTAGGCGAATAATGGCACTACCGGCTTTCCGTACTCTGGCCGAGTTAGACTCCGCCCACTCGTGACAGGAGGGGTGCTACAGACCGGACAGACAGACAGACCATCACACGGGTGCAGTTTTTGAAAGTAAAAGTTAACAATGCGGTAAAATTACAAACAACAAGCCGTCAGGATGAACACTGCGCAGAGAGTTGGACTGTGATTCAGCGGAAATTCAAAAGTTGGATTCAAAACTTGTGAGTAAAGTTCGTCTTTTTCCGTCGCTGCTCGGCGGGCCGAACAACAAGCTGTGCTGTTAGACGTGTTACGTAAGCAACTTCAGTGTCTCTTAAAAGCTTGTAAAAACCGAAATATGTCGTTTTACTCACCCTGAAACATCGATTCAGGACTTTGCTGACATGATGTAACTTGTTTTATTTTTTTATTTTTATTACAGTTCAATAAAAGCCAGGATGTGAATTCCTCTCACACTGCTTTAACTTTCACATTGCTGCTGTGTGTTGATGGTTTAACTTTCACATTGCTGCTGTGTGTTGATGGTTTAACTTTCACATTGCTGCTGTGTGTTGATGGTTTAACTTTCACATTGCTGCTGTGTGTTGATGGTTTAACTTTCACATTGCTGCTGTGTGTTGATGGTTTAATTTTCACATTGCTGCTGTGTGTTGATGGTTTAACTTTCACATTGCTGCTGTGTGTTGATGGTTTAACTTTCACATTGCTGCTGTGTGTTGATGGTTTAACTTTCACATTGCTGCTGTGTGTTGATGGTTTAACTTTCACATTGCTGCTGTGTGTTGATGGTTTAACTTTCACATTGCTGCTGTGTGTTGATGGTTTAACTTTCACATTGCTGCTGTGTGTTGATGGTTTCTGTGGTTTTATTCTAACAGAGGCTCCCTGTGAATGAGAAGAATCCACCATGGTGCAGGAATACCAGTCTCCTGTTCGGGTCTACAAACACCCATTTGAGTTAATAATGGCGGTGAGTAAAAGCTACTTAATGCAGTGTTGTGTTTGTTTCATTTGTTTTAATATTGTATTCACAAACAAACAGCACGACCAGCTACACACAGAAACAGCCACCCCTGATGGGTAAAACAAGACAAACAGATGGAAGAAAATAAGACACAAAACAACAACAAATCAAGCTGAAACAATACACTATGTAAACATAATCAGCACCATCTGTGACAAGTTAAAACTGCGTCTCCATGGGCTAAGACAGGATAAATAAAAACATGGTGTTTGTGCATATATGAAGGATAGTCACATCTGTTTGTACAAACCTGAACAAGCAGGATAACTCTTCTGTTTTGTTAAAGGTTGCAGGATAGAGAATCAGAATCAGCTTTATTGGCTTGGTGTGCTTAAACACACAAGGTATTTTATAAATATATTAAATATCAACAATAAACACAAAAAGCAAAGACTAATATGTACAAGGCTAAATAGGATAATATAAGATAATAGTGCAGTGGAAAGATGCTGAAGTAAAGGTGAGGTAGTTTTTACAGTATTTACATTAAAAAGTGTGCGTATATGTTTATTTAAATTAAATAATATATGTACATTCTGCTAAGAGAATTGTAACATTGTACATGTTCATTCACAGTGACCGAGAGGGACACTATATCAGACCCTGTCTTTGTCTGACATTAGAGGTTATTCCTTGTGGCCGGGTATTTAAAAACAAAAGGTAAAAACAAGCGTGGCATAAATCCTAAGTTTTATTTTGACACAAAAGGACGAGTCATAGTGTCTTCCTTATCAGCTCCTTGCATAACTAAACTGAAGGGACTTAAAGGACCTTTATCCTTTAGATCAGTGGTTCTCAGCTGGTCTAGTCTGAGGACCCACAACCACCTCCTTTATGAAAGTTTCTGATATTTTTTCAACCAATCAGATTGACTGATTTAAATAAATTAGTGCCGTTTGGATCTCAAACAAAGAGAAGCAGCAAAACCAGCATGTTTTAAAAGCACTTCATAGACTTTTTACACTTTTCTTTTTAGTCACATGTTCCCGACCCACTGAAAACGGGTCCGCGTCCCACTTTTGGGTCCCGACCCACCAGTTGAGCACCACTGCTTTAGACAGTGTCACTTGTGAACCTTTTCAATTTGTAAATATAATTTGTTTCGCTCTATATCAATCATAAGAAATTCAAATTTAGAATAGAATAGAATATAATAGAATTACTTTATTGATCCCAAACTGGGAAATTGTGGCGTTACAGCAGCAGGTTGTCCAAACACACAATATGAGTAAAAAACACAATATTAGCAAATCTAAACACAATATAATATTAAATACAAAGTAAATAAACACTAAAAATATCAAAACTAAGAATGGGAATATATACAACCAGGATTTAACTTAGCATTACTAGTCTTAAATAGGAAAGTTTAAATGTAAATGTGCAAAAACAGAGTTGTAAATGAACAGTATTGACATAGGAATAAAATATATGCAAACTTGAATTGCCTCCACTCATGGTTATGGCAGACTAGACACCTTTCAGACACCTGCAAACCGTCTGAAACGTTGTCTACCTCCTAGGGACATCTGTCTCGCTCTGGATGTTCTCTTCTTTCACAAAAAATACTGTCTCCATTCTGTTTTTCTCTCCTGATGCGGTGGTAAATACAGTAATCTTCACGGTGGTACGCGCTCAGCGAGATATTCTTGTTAACCTTTGCATTTCTTTCAGACGTCTTTTCTTTCCATATTCAAAGCTCAGCTCAAGGCTGTAACCCCGTAAAGCTTGTGTGTTACTCTGCTGTTGCAAGTTTTTTAATTAATGTCGTTATGAAGCGATGGTCACAAGAAGTCAAGAGGTTAGAGGTCGCTCAGATGTTATAAGAAGAAGAAGAGTTGTTTTGTGTGGTTGCTGCAGTTTGTTCTTGGTTATGTAATGTTCCTTGAGTTCTACTTTCATCATTTAACTGTCAAAATATTTACATTTAAGTGCCGTGCGCTTCAACAGTCCCTCAAAGGAAATCCACCGAAAAGGAAGAAGAAATCCAATATTTTCCCAACACATATTCCCCTTTAAGATAAACCTGCTCGCCCTTGAATTGAACATTACCCCTTATCTTATATATTTTTCCACTTTGCCTGCAAACTGAAACCCGATACTTTGAGTTCATGTGTGAAGCCAAAGTAGGACACAAGTTATATAAATGTGCATTTTCATGAGAAGCCGGCAGTCGCCCCCCCCCCCCCCCCACACACACACACACACACACACACACACACACACACACACACACACACACACACACACACACACACACACACACACACACTCCTGCAGTCTGTTTATTGTTCTCTGCAGTTACATATTAAGCCAAACGACTTATGCAATATCCTCAGCGTGGGTAAAGACCGCGATGCTGCAGGCGCTCACACTTTGCTCTGCAGACTGTAACTCCTTCACCCAGCAGTCCAAGTCTACACCTACACAACATTCACAACATCTCTCTCTCTCTCTCTCTCTCCTCCTGCATCGCTGCACCTTATTGAAAAGGATCATATAATAGAAAAAACCTTTTTGTGTAAAGTAACAGCTGCTGTGAAAGGATCCGGGCCTCGGCAGGATAAAGGAGAGAATCCAGTGAAAGGACGTCTCCGGCCAGCTTCCATTAATCTGAGAATTTCTCATTCGTGTCGCTGATTTAGTCCAGGACAGCTCACAGCCCCGTTCAGTGTCCTGGATGTGAAATGTTTAAACAGAGACATCAGTTCTGTCCCTTTGACGACGTGGCTTTATGACTAACCTTCAACTTTATGGAAAAAGACATTTCTTTACGTGTGGATTTAAGGGTTGTCATGATTCTTGAATATGATATTAGTTCAAATGAATCTATATTGAGGCGCTGGTGGCGCAGTGGTTGGTGCGTGTGTGTCTTGGTCTCGGTCTTGACTCGGTCTAGATCCCTAAATGTCTTGGTCTTGACTCGGTCTAGATCCCTAAATGTCTTGGTCTTGACTCGGTCTAGATCCCTAAATGTCTTGGTCTTGACTCGGTCTAGATCCCTAAATGTCTTGGTCTTGTCTCGGTCTTGATCCCTAAATGTCTTAGTCTTCTCTCTGTCTCGATCCCTAAATGTCTCGGTCTTGGTCTTGGTCTTGGTCTTGGTCTTGTCGCTGTCTCGATCCCTAAATGTCTCGGTCTTGGTCTTGGTCCTGGTCTTATCTCTGTCTCGATCCCTAAATGTCTCGGTCTCGGTTTTAAGTCTTGGAGCACTCTGGTCTCAGGTTTGTCTTGGTCCCGGTTAATGTGGTCTTGACAGACTTACATTTTCACACTTTTTGTTGTGTCTTGTCCATCAGGTGCTCCCCTCACTTCCAGACCCCTCTTTGAAATAAGACACAACAAAATCTTCTCTCACTTCTGCAGTGCTCACTTCTCCTCCTCGACTACTGACCTCAAAATAAAAACCAGAAGCAGAACGCTTATTTTGTCTCATCAATTTAAATTGTCCATATGCGTTTTGATTTTTAGCCTTAATGGATACACTCTGCTCTCTGTAAGCGCTTCACACCTGCATAGTGGCATTGAATTGATCCTGCCTCGGGAAATAAATCTTTTATCTTGTTGCTCTGCAGAAACAGTCTCCGGCCTGTTAATGGCTTGCTAAAGTGAAATATGAAGCTGGATAGTGTTTGTACAGAAGTTTAAAAAGTCTTCTGGGGATATTTATTGACTTTTCTACTGAAACACTTTGTGCTTATCATTTTTATATTTTGTGCTTTGATTGAGTTTCTTCTCATAGCTCTGCTGAGGCGGGTTGGACAAAGGCTGTGATTTGTTTGCAATCAGGCCAACATTGAGTTTGTGTGTTACACAACTGCAGTCAATGCTGCTTATTTACCAAGAAAACCTTTCTCATCAATTAGCTCAGTGCGTAATGTCATCTTATCGACTGTGTGTGTGTGTGTGTGTGTGTGTGTGTGTGTGTGTGTGTGTGTGTGTGTGTGTGTGTGTGTGTGTGTGTGTGTGTGTGTGTGTGTGTGTGTGTGTGTGTGTGTGTGTGTGTGTGTGTGTGTGTGTGTGTGTGTGTGTGTGTGTGTGTGTGTGTGTGTGTGTGTGTGTGTGTGTGTGTGTGTGTGTGTGTGTGTGGAAGAGTGCCTGAGGGTAAACTTGGATCTGAAAAGTCTTTACTTTTTGTTTTATTTTTAATGCCTGTGGTTTTTTTTTTATATTTGCTTTTGCTCTACAAACTTTACTTTCCTCTTTCACACTACATGATATCAGCTCTGAGAGACGGGAAGGAAAAGTTTTTAAAAAGTGAATTAATAGTGAAAATAACCATATAATGTCTCCTGTATTAAAACACAGATATTCTGACGCTAAAAGTAGAAATTTAAGAAAACGTTTTCTCAACGACTAAGACCGTTGTCTTGAAAAAGAAACTATATATTATATAGTAAGTTCAAGTAAGTAAGAAAAATACATTTGTCTGCTACAAGACTACTGCTAGCTTTTTGAAATAAGGCTAATACTCGGAATTAAACATGTAAATTTGCCAGATTATAGCCATAGTCTAATTTCCATTTGTAGTCCCTTGGCGGGTTGTTGGTTCAAACATTTACAAATTTACATAAAACTACAATGACAAGCAAACAACGAGTAACGACCAAACAACAACATAATCTCTTTAACAAGGTGTATGAAGTTATAAACTGAATAGAAAACTTAAAACAAGTAAAATTCTGCTGCATAAAAACTGCCAGAGAAGAAGAAACATGTTGTCGTATATAAACTTTTCACTCTGTGCAGGTCGTGACCCAGCTCAGGTCGTCTTACCTCGTGGTGTCATTTACTTTATCTCAGAGCTTTAAAACAATAATCGGTGATGTTCCCGTTCCTTCCCTGCAGTTAGTTACTTAGTTACTTAGTTACTTAGTTACATAGTCCAGTCTGTTTCTGCATATCCTGAAACAGACGCTCGGTCAATATTGACAGGTGAGCCCTGCAGGAATCAGTCCGGACAGACGGTCTGACTGTGTGCTGCTGTGGACAATAAAACACAAACCAATCATCAGTGATTGTAGAAGCAGCCTCTGCTTCAAACATCACATGAATTCAGCATTTATGCAAAATACATGCAAAGCAACCAACTAGGGCTGAACGATGTAGGAAAACTCTGGCATGTGATATAGTATGAACTGCAATGTGACAAAATACAGGAAGTTATCCAAACAAGGTGCAGTGAGTTTACAGGTTTAAATTTGGGAAATTAACATTTAAATCACAAAGTCGTCCATTCAGGCGTCTCTGCTCGTCAACATAGTGAGAGAGTAACTGTGTGTGTTTGTGTGAGCATGTAAAAGTCCAGTTAGCAACATTAGCACCAGCGCTAGTTTGGTTCTTCTGCCATCGCTCTAATCTCGTGTAAACAAAAGTGACAGCGTCGCACAGTGACATCAAACGGAGGAGAAAGCGGCGCACAGCGTGACGTTGTAAGAACAAAACTCAGTTGTCCCCGTCTACACGTAAACACCTTAAAAACTGAGTTTCTGAAAAAAATCTTCATCCTGGAAGAAATTTTCCAAAAGATGCGTTTAAAGTGACCTCAAATGCAGTTTGGGTTCCAAACGCCAAAACACACAGAATTAAAAATACCTGCCTATGTGTGAACACAATGAAGAGTCAGGTTCACAGGTGTTTATTAAATGACTTTTTAAATTACGTCCTCTATTCTGTTTACATTGTCTCTGTCTTGTGGTATCCCCCCCACTCTCAGGCCTACACGAGGAGGTTCCCAAAGTGCCCCCTGATCCCCGTGTTTGTGGACAGCGAGATCATCAACGAGAGCCAAAGCAAAGATGGATCTACGCTGGTGACTGAGAGGCGCTGTGTCATCGACATCGAGGCCCCGCGGCTGCTAAAGAGGGTAACTCCAGTGACCTTATGCAGAGCAAAGGTCTCAAAACAATCCTAAGAATCACTCTTTAAATTAGGTTTTTAGAATTGTACTTAACTTTAAAACTACAGTTCAAGGCAACATCTCTCAAATGAAAAGAATTGCGTGAGTGGATCTGTGTTGCACTGGAGGAAAAAACGTTTGCACAAGATGGACTGTGCAGTCTTCTTCAGTGGAAAAGTGTTTTGTCTTCATGTTTTTTTTTTTATCTTTACAACAAAAAAAGGGAATCTCTGTCAGGACTGTCTGAGAGTTGCAACCTTAAAGCTTTGGGGTTTGCAGCAGTCTTTGGATAGATGTTTATGATCCACATGCTATTTATATTTTTTGTGCAAACCAAATAATTGTCTTATTCTGCATGTAGATTGCGGGCGTGGACTACCTGTACTTCATCCAGAAGAACACCCTGAATCGCAGAGACAGGACGCTCCACATCGAGGTTCAAAACGAGACTTTCTCCAACAGAGTCATCGTCCGAGAGTGCTGCAACTACACGGTGAGCCTCCGAGTTTTAGACCTTTGTTGTCGAGTTTGTTTTATTGGTTTTTTTTTGCATTACGCTTTTACATCACCTTGTAAAAAAAAAAAAAAGGAGGCACAGTTGTAAAAACCATCCTCGTCTATCTGATTCAAAAGCCTTTTTTAAAAAGTTGATTCAGTAGGAGTGTCTTTACAAATGATGAATTCTGTTTAAAAAATGAGATATCATATTAATTATGCATCGCTCTCTAAAGATCTGGTCCGGATGATTGTTCATATTTTGTATTTACGGTGCTTCTCTGCAGGTTCATCCAGAAAATGAGGACTGGACGTGCTTTGAACAAACAGCCAGTCTGGATATTAAGTCCTTCTTTGGCTTTGAGAGCACAGCAGAGAAGATCGCCATGAAACAGTACGCCAGCAGCATTAAAAAGGTTTGAAACTTTGAATGAACGATGGATTTTACATGTTTGGAAAGTGACCTTAAAAATGCATTCACAGTCAGTCAGTTTCTTGTGTTAATATCTAAACATCTTGTCTCTCTGTGCTGTAGGGTAAAGAAATAATCGAGTACTACCTCAGACAGCTGGAGGAAGAAGGAGTTACATACATCCCTCCTTGGACCCCTCCTGTTGTCACTGGCCGTGTCTCTACCCGGCTGCAGCTGCACCCCCCCTCCACAGCCAGACCCATCCCAGTGAGGGGAGCTAATAACGGAGCAGACAGCAAAGACCCGACTGGCCCCTCAGAGCTGCTGGCCGGCTCTCCTGAAGGTCAGTGTTTCTTCACCTGCACAGTGCTGCAGTGTTCAGGTGAACAGATCTGTGTGAGTCATATACATACTTTATATTGACTTGTTTACAGACTCTGGAAGTAGTGTTTGACAGGTGTGCAGCTTTTCTATGCATGTCCTTGTTTAGAGGAGTGACTTATATGAAGTTTACATATTTTTTTACTAGAAATTAGAAAAATAAACTTGCTGTTTGCTCAAACCTCTATATGTGTTTCTGCCTGCAGACAAGTTGGATGCAGATTACATCAGACGTTACCTTGGAGATCTAACGCTTATGCAGGAGAGCTGCCTCATTCGACTGCGCCAGTGGCTCCAAGAAAACCACAAGGGCAAGGTCAGACGTACACCGACTCAGTTTGTTTGAGTACAGAGCTGTCATACCATCATGGAAAGTTTTCACTTTTTTTTAGACTCTTTACACAATCGTCTGCTTCTGCTTCTCCTACCGTACCTCGAGTCACTTTCGCCTCTCAGACGTTGCGTCGATTAGAAAAGGAAGAAAATAAATCAAGTAGCTAAATGTTGAGAATCATTTTGCAGCGACTTTCACTTTGCTTTGGAGTTTTGATCCTCTGTTCGTTCTCCAACAGATCCCCAAAGATCAGCACGTGCTGCGCTTCCTGCGGGCCAGAGATTTCAACCTGGACAAGTCCAGAGAGCTGCTGTGTCAGTCGCTCACCTGGAGGAAGCAGCACCAGGTAGATTTCCTGTTAGACACATGGGAGCGCCCCCAACTGATGCAGGACTACTACACGGGAGGCTGGCACCACCACGACAGAGGTATTATACTTAGAGTTTCATTATCCACTTATTTCCACTTTGTTTCACTGCTTACTTTTAGCTGTGAACATGATAAACATAAAGATAAAGACGCCGGGGTTTCTGTGTTTGCTAAGTCCCACAGGGCTTAAAACGGCCGGTTAATTATTGACTGTTCTGGTCGGAGTACCATCTGTCAAAGCATGAACTTGGACATGGGTCATTTCTTTTAACAGCTTATGACATGAACACAGGAAGTGCCCTTTGAATGTTCACATGCCAAATTAATACCACTTTGAAGAGTAAATACCAGTTAGGGTTATGTTAGGGCGCACTCCCTCCAGGCAATCCCAAGCACGTTTCACCCCCAAAGTCCAGTTCAGTTCTGTTCTTGTGTGAGTGCTCCGACCCGTGCTGATCCATAACACTGTTTAATACTCAGATACAGAGGTTTATAGTTGAAAAAAAGTGGTTTTGGGGTTAAGTTACTCTTCAAGGACAGTACACTTCCTCGGCTATAGCACGGGTGGAAGAGGTGTGCTTCAGCACGGTAAAGTCGCTCATGCACGAGCAGAAGCACAGGTAGGCTAACATCCATCCCTGCTCTCCCTTATCGAGAAATCCCAGAGTGTTCTGACCAAAATGAATTACATTTCTTTTTTTCAAACATGTTTTAAAATAATAAAATAAAAGAATCAGAATGAACAAAAAAATCAGTGAAGTTGTAGTCATGCTTTCTTTCGATGTTCGGACGCAGACATGAGCGCACGACCCTTTTTTATTTTATTTTATTTTATTTTTTTGAGCCTGCCTGTCTTGTAAAGTAAGCACACTTCATGATCACATAAAGCCATGCATGTGTTAGATCTTAAATCTGTGTTTGTGTGTTTGTGTGGTGTGTATCATTTAGACGGCCGTCCTCTCTATGTTTTGCGTCTGGGTCAAATGGACACAAAAGGCTTGGTGCGAGCTCTGGGAGAGGAGGTTCTACTGAGACAGGTGACATGAATGCATTCACCTCATATTGCACATAAGCAGCAGCATTATTTATTTAAATGTCTTCAGTTAAATAAAAGTTTGATTGATTTTCTTGAATGTGACCCAGGTGCTGTCCCTCAACGAGGAGGGTCTGAGACGCTGTGAAGAAAACACCAGAGTCTTCGGTCGACCCATCAGGTGCATTAAATGAAAATAATCCATCCTCTCTGATAATGTTTTCAAAAATACACAAAAAGTCATGAAATATTCAGGATGAGCTACATGTGCAATTTCAAACTGGCAAATGTTTTCACCCTGACTTAACCTGGATTGTTTTCTGACAGTCTTTGAATAGAAGTGTCTGCTAAATGAATTGTAGAATCACACGGGTCAGCTAAACTCTCTGAAATTATCTAGAATGTTCTGGGAGTGCATGTGTGAAACTTGCTTTAATCAGGTGTACATGTTTGCCATATGCAGCCGTGTAATGTTTTATGTAAATGTGTCTCCAAGCTGCTGGACTTGCTTGGTGGACCTGGAGGGATTAAACATGCGGCACCTGTGGAGACCAGGTGTTAAAGCTCTGCTGAGAATCATCGAGGTGGCCGAGGCGAACTACCCCGAGACGCTGGGCCGCCTCCTCATCCTCAGGGCTCCCCGAGTGTTTCCAGTGCTCTGGACCCTGGTGAGAATAAATGTTTGAATGTGCAGCCGTTGAATGTGGGTTTAATTAATCATCCGACGTGAGAAAGTGGATTACGTTTTTTTTTTACGGTACAGATGTAGACGTTACACCTCGCAGATATTCCCCTCTGATAGGAATTCTTCATCGCCGAGTGAAGACAAAGCAACACTGTGAATTAGAGATACTAATAAAACAAAGCAGAAACGCAGAGAGAGATAATTATAGCCATGCATTATACATGAGGGGGAATTTGATTACTGCTGCAGCGACGTACAAGAGTAGAGTTTGTGGGAGACTAATGACGATCTGCAAAGAAAGGAATGAAGATAAGTTGTAGTACAAGTAAACAAATATGTGCAAATAAATCAGGAGCTAATAAAAGTCATAAACTCTGTGCACCGATGAGGAGCTGCATGAGCTAAATGAAGGTTAGGCTGTTTTTTTATTTAGGATCTAATATGAACTATTTATCTAAAAGCATTACATCAGAACTTATTGTGATGATAAAATTCAAATACAGATGATCCACTGACTTTTACAGCTCATGATGTGTGTGTCTGATGAAGCTTGCTGGTTGTTGTTCTGCAGGTCAGCCCTCTGATCGATGAGAACACCCGGAAGAAGTTTCTTGTTTACGCTGGGAATGACTACCAGGGTCCAGGAGGGCTGGTGGACTACATCGACAGAGAAATCATCCCGGAGTTCTTAGGAGGGGACTGCATGGTGAGAGTTCATTTTCATTTAATTCCAGGTATTTATATCGTAGTACATTGGTGTGGCGCAAAAAACAGAACACATAAAGATGACGCAACAAAACAAAAGCGCACGGCATGAAAAAAACGCTTCATGTTTTTTTTTTCTTCTTGTCTTTTCTCCAGTGTGATATTCCTGAAGGAGGTTTGGTCCCTAAATCTCTGTACAGGACAGCAGAGGAGCTGGAGAGTGAAGAGAACCGCCTGTTGATCGACTCCGTCTACAAGAGTGCCAGTATTTTCAAAGGAGCCCCGTATGAGGTACAGTCTCTCTCTCTGTCTGCTTCTAGACCTGCACTAAAGACCCAGAACCAAAAACTTCAAAACGTAGCCTAGCTTCAACGTCATTTCTAGTGTAGGACAGAAGTTACACCTTCAATCTTACACCTACTTCTGAGTAGGTGTAGAGTCCTCTGTAAAAAAATGAAAATAAAAAAAGGTTTCCATGGTGATCGTTTTTAAAGGTTGGGTAAGGAGGAGCAGAGGGTTTTACCAGCTGTGTGGTGTCGGGCAGCGGTGACCTCCATGATGGATTACATCCTACGGATAATTTCATCTGCTCAACATAGAGGATCATTAATTCAGTTTATGTTTGTGTCGACAGTTTCACGCCTCGGTGTCACTGTTGTTGTTATTTTACAGGCGATCCCAGATGTTTTTTTTATCCCCTAACGCGCCTAGCTCGACCTGTCTCTGTGTGATCAGGCCGTAAGAAGGTGTATCTACATTTCTAATTAGTTTCTAAATTAGTTTCTTTTTTTTTTTGCCGTGGATTAGGGTGCCATCAGCTGGATGAAAACTACATTTCAGGTTTCCGGTAAAACATCTTATTAACGGCCTGCTTTCTGCTTTTCTCTGTTTCCAATCCCCTTCCATCCTCCTCCAGATGTTGATCGAGATCTCAGAGGCCTCCTCCGTCATCACCTGGGACTTCGACGTGTCCAAAGGAGACGTTATCTTCAACATTTATCACTCCAAGAGGGCGCCGCAGCCTCCTAAAAGAGACACTCTGGGAACTCATGGCATCCCGTCTTTAGGGCCTGTTAACGCCCAGCTGATCGACAGGAGCTGGGTGCTGGGCCAGGACTACAGCATGGTGGAGAAGGCCCTCGTCTGCAGGGAGGGAGAGAGTGTTCAGGTGCAGCAGCTTACTCTTGATTTGTCTCTCTGTTTTCTGCAGTTCTTCATCGCTGCAGAGATAAATCAATCCTGCATCTTCTATCTCTCTGATCTAACAGGGTTCCCATGTGACACGCTGGCCCGGCTTCTTCATCCTCCAGTGGCGCTTCCACAGCTCGCCGGCCTGCTCCACTTCCAGCCTGCCCCGTGTGGACGATGTGCTGGCTTCGCTGCAGGTCTCTTCCCACAAGTGTAAGATCATGTACTACACAGAGGTGCTGGCTTCCAGTGACTTCAGGTCAGTTCTCAAACTTTTTTATTTTTTATTTTTTATGTTGTTTACTGCTTTGCTTTACGATTATCTTCATCCTGTCTTTTGTGTGTGCTGCACCGATTCTGTGTTGGATAATCAAAAATCCATGTAGTGATATATCTGGACATATTTTAGTTTGTATTTCACAGAACTTTTTGTCAGATTTGCTTATATTTTCAGTTTTTTGCACGTCTGTTTTTCTCTTGTATTTGATGACAGAATTGTTTCTGAGAATTTGATGTTTTTTTGTTATTTCCTAGGGGATCCATGACGAGTCTGGAGTCCAGTCATAGTGGTTTCTCACAGCTAAGTGCTGCAACCACTTCCTCTAGCCAATCACAAGCCAGCTCCGTCATCTCGAGGTAGTGACTGTCGAGCATACGGACGTACCTACAGTTATCTTACTGCCACTGTGCCTTCAAAATAACACTTGTTACTCGTACACTTAAATTAAAGGAGGTGAGGATGTGTTGATAGATTTCTATATCATTGTTTGTGTTGAAAAGTTTTGTTGATCTCTTTCCAGAGAAAAAGTATGTGTGTGTAAAGTATCAATTTCCTGTGCGTATTTAATGACTGACTAACTTGTTTTTATTTAATCAGTAGCAGCATACAGTTGCACTGATGTAATACACAGTTAACATGTTGTAATCAGATTTTTAATTACAATAGATTTGTGATCATGACTGCTTGATGAGTATCTGCTGGATCAGTAAATGCAGAAGGAGATGTTTTAAACACTAAAGATTAAATAACTCAGAGAAAAACGGTACAAGTATCCGTAGTGTCTGTCCTTGACGTTTCTTTCATTGTCCACAAGAGGGCAGTATAGACCCACACTGATTGAAAACAGCTCTGAGCTCAGCAGTATACTTGATCAATGAGAGGTGTGTTTCACTCACTGTGGGAGAAATCAAATGAAGAATGGTTTGAATAATAAATATTTCACTAACATGAATGTTGTTGTCACTCTGGAGTGTCTTTCTTCATCTTCAAACTTAAGAAAGAAGAAATGTTGTGGCAGAAATGTAGGAGAGGAGCAGTACAATAACAATAGAACAAAACTATAACAATAACATTATACTAATAATGGAATACTAGTTTCTAAAAAAATGTTGGGTGCTACATTGATTTACTTCATATCACTGGCAGTGGTGCTTTGCTCGTTAAACCACACCCTCTTTACACAGGAAAAGCTCCAATTGACTAACCGCACACAACCTTGTAAGAGGTGGCCTCCGTAGGGCAAACAAGTGTTGGGGTGATGAATTAAATCATTTGCGTTACGGTATATTATTTTATAGGAGTCCTAAGGTATAGGAGAAAAAATTCCTTGGATTATTCTGTGTGTACAAATGTGCAGCTTCAATAAAGTATATTTAACCATGAAGTGTGCAACATGAAAACAGTATTTATTTGGACCTGTGTGTTTCACTTATTTCACACCAGCAGTCCTCTCTACTCTTTAACGATTTCCTCATTCGAGCCAGCCATAAAGATGGACAAATTTAACCCTCACCACAGCAAATTCAAGGCCTGCTGCCTTGAACTGATCTGACATGAAGATGAATATACTGTCACTGCATTTATTAAGATCAAACACACATCCAGTTTGTGGACCGGTGCTCCACTGATTTCAAGGTTGGCAACACCTTCCAGCTGCCCACTTTAGTTCCTGCTGGAGAAAGACAGACTGTGTGTATGCAGGCCTGGGCTTGGCTCAACCACAAGTTTGATCTGATGTTGGCTAAGCGTGTCTTTGTTCTCTGGTATGTGAGGGAGCTTATGGAGGAGGAAGAGGCCTTTGAAGACAAAGAGGAGCTGGCTGCTCTGGAGAAGGATTAGGAGTTTTTCATTGACTCCAACTAATAAACTTTTAGTGAATTAATGAAAATATTTGGTGTAAATAAAGTACATTTTAGAGTCATATTTGGTTGACTTAAATTGTACTAAATAATTTGAGACAACTGTGAATCAGTGTCTTTAGACTGATCTTCAGACTTTTATTCTGAAGGGCGATCATGACACAAGTTAAGATCAAATTTAAACTGTGGTCTTAGTAGGGTTTACTCTGGGTTTTACTAGGAATAATTACTACTTCTGTTCAACATGCTGGACTTAGTCATGTTGACGTTTGGATTTAGAAGATAATTTGACTAATTTACACCATTTACTGAATAATAAAACTACCCCCCAAGTTCTAAAACCTCTACACTCTGAGATGTTGGAGAAAAGCGCGGACCATTCTCAGGGACCACAGCCAGAACCTGTTCACTCTGCTACCGTCAGGCAGACGGTATCGGAGCATCAGGACAAGAACCACCAGGCTCAAGAACAGCTTCTTTCCCGAGCGCCACAAGACTCTTAAACTCCACAAGCCCCTTGAACTCCTAAACCCTAAGATCCTCACACACACACACACACACACACACACACACACACAATATTTTTGCACACACAACATACTACTGCACACTGTATGCCACTGCACTACACAGATACTGTCTGAGACACTTTACTTTATTGTTATATATATATATATATATACTGTACATATATTCTAGTTTTATCTAAACTTTTGGTTCCTAATTGCACTCTACGTTGTTACTCTTTTTACTCTTATCTTCTATACTATTTTTTATTTTTGCTTTGTTAAGAGAGCTTGGAACACAAACATTTCATTGCCAGCTATGACTGCTTTGCCTGTTATGTTGTGCACTTGACTAATAAAGATAACTTGAACTTGAACTAAAACTCTCTCTAAACAGATATTACAGGTAGAAAATAATTAAAACCCTACGAAGAAGAGAAAAAAATCCACATAAGTCAGTGACATATTTGCTATTATTATGAGCAATTTTAGAGCATGGCATACTTCAATTTTTCCATACAAAAATGTGAAAAAAAATCCGAGTTCACTAGTTTACAACAGGCCTGCCCCAGCCCTTGAACGCAACACAACCCCTGACGTACTGTGCGTCTGACGTCACGGATTTCATCTCGTTCCTCCTTCGTTTCGTTTGGACACCAGACAAGTTAGCACAAAGCTAACAAGCAGGCGAAGAGCTAACTAGCCGTGTTTCTTTTCTTTTTTTCTCACATTTATACAAACTGAAGTATTATAAGGTCTGTTTGGGGCGTCTTATTTAATAGGATACGTGTTTTTCGGCGACCCAACTTGCGACGTCGTTTCTCTTGACGCCCGGAGGAGACGCAGGTACGTAACAAATCCGTTAGCATGCTAGTTAGCTTAGCTCAGCGTTGGGCCTTTAGAAATGTATAAATTTAAATATTTAACACGGCTCTTAAGTGACCACATGTTACAGCAGTGAGTTTAAAGTCGTGTCGTATTCATCCGATGAGTCCTCATGTAGTATTTGATGGTTTGTTTTGGTAATCCATCAGAAATGTGCTAACTTACATTTAGCCGGAGCTACAGGCCCGTTCTGGCGCACGTGTTAATCCACATATAAAAAAGGTTTAAACTGAAAATAATCTCATGAAATTAACCAGAATATAATTATAATAAAGCATGATTAAAGTAACAGATTCACTTGTTCTTCCAGCAACTACAAGACGTTTTAAAAACACTAAACTGTCATAACAAAGTATCTGATTTAAAGCTGCTGTTTCTGTTTCTGTGATTATGAGAAACATTTCTGCAAAAGTTCTTCTGTTAAAGATCTTTGTGTTGTTCAGGACTCCAAAATCAGCCAGTGTGGAAGTCCTGATTCACTTGTGGTTTATTTATGTCAGCCATCTTAGAGCACAAAGTCCCTCAGTGCAATAAAAAAGATGGAAATGGATAAACTGCAGATTGATTTCTTAAATAAAGATTAGACAGATGGAGGGCTGGAGCAGCGACTTTAAGAGTGCAGGTGTTCTAGTGCTAGTATATCACCACCACCACCACCAAGGTTTCCATGAAGTAAGAAACAAACACCTCAGATTAAATCGACTTTTATTTAGTTATCAGTTTATTAGTCAGGGATAATTCATGCAGGTGTTACAGTGCAGCCAATGCAAAGGCTGTGGGACTTCTCACCATGGCTTATTAGAAGTGTGTGTCTCTGGTTAGGCTTTAAGAAATGACACACACGATACAGGGACTCTGTAAAATGGTCATAAACACTGACAATTACAGCAGACATCAACAAGCAGCGACATAGATGTTTAAAAACGAACAATGAAGAAGACAGAAAGCAGATTGATCCCAAAGAATTAAGAACAATAACTGGAATAACAACACAAGAACAAAACAAGGAAAGATGAGTCAAATATGCTAAGCTATATCAAACCTGGAAGCTTTATAAAACATGTAAGCGATATGAAATATGTTCCTTTTTTTTCTAATATCGTCATCTTTCTAAGCTTTCTGTAAAAGATGACGTCATCTTGTAACAATTGGAAGAAGTTGTAGAAAAGTACAGGAACAAAGGGGCTTGTTGCTAACAGCGTGAGGCACCTGCTCTTTATGGAGCAACACTTAATGTTATGTTTTATTTCTTGCGTTTGTCTTCCACTAATGCCTCTTTTTATCCGACTTTTTGCAGAGCCATGTACAATGGTATTGGCCTGACCACTCCGCGGGGCAGCGGCACTAATGGATATGTGCAGCGTAACCTGTCGAGCCTGCGGGTCAAGCGGCCGCGGGATGAACGCGGCGGCGAGCGGGACGAGAAGGACCGGGAACGGCTGGAGAGTCAGCTCAACAGGCAGCCCAATGCGGACATCCTGGAGCACCAACGCAAGAGGCAGCTGGAGGTCAAGTGTGCAGAGCTGCAGGACATGATGGAGGAGCAGGGGTAACTATTTGATGGTTTTAACTTGATAGCCATGTTTCAAAAATGAGGACACATATCCACAACAAGAACTGGAACCTGAAGTTTTGATCAAAGTTTTTTCTGGGATTAATGACTCGTCAAAACAGTTGTTAATACATCATCAAATTAATTAAATAGTGTTAACCTTTAGTAAGCACTGACAGCTGCTTTTTAGGCAGATGAACTGAATGTTATGGAGTATTTTAGACCCTGTACAAGTTCTGGAAGCTGCTTAGCATACTGTAAAATGAAGACAGTATCTTTATAAAGGGGACAAGAACAGAAGTAAAATAGTTTCTTTTAATCTTTCTGGTGTTAAATACTCTTCTCTGTTTGTATTGTCAGCTATTCGGCAGAGGAAATCGAGGAGAAGGTGAACAGTTTCCGAATGATGCTGCAGGAAAAAGAGGAGCCGACTCCTGTGGCCAATGAGAGACCAACGTAAGTGCTGATGATCCTCACATTTAACTCTAACCTCCTCCTCAAATGTCAGCATCTCATTGGTCACACGTCGCTGTCTGTTTGTTTTCTCTTAGGGCGACAGAGACTCACGCTCTGGCTGCGGCAAACCAGCAGAAGAATGACCGTCTTCGTGCCGCTTTTGGAATCTCAAATGACTACGTGGACGGATCGTCTTTCCACGCCGACCGGAAGGAGAAAGAGAAGGAGAAGAGAGAGCAGGAGCGCCTGGAGAAGGAGAGGCTGCAGCAACAGAAATATACGTGAGTAGGAAAAGCACAGGACACAACCAGAATGCTGCTGTGTGTATAAAATGAAAACCTCTTTTTAATTTCAGTCCGGTAATCTGTATGGCTAAAAATACCAGTGCAGAAATAATGTGGGAAACACATTCTGTTGCTTCTACACTCACAGGTTGGTGGAAGATTCAGACGATTCAGATTCTCCTCCCAAGAAGCGCAGTCGGAAGAAGAAGAAGAAAAACAAAAACAGAGACAGGTGAGGAAGCTTGTTCGGTGAAAGTGGAAAAAGTTTCCCGGCCAAAAAAAAAGTAAAGTTCTGACCTTATTTTTTGTTTTCTTGTTCAGCAGCTCAGAGAGTCCCTCCTCGTCTCCTCGGCGAGAGAAGAAGAAATCCAAAAAGAAGAAAAAGAAACGGTACCACACTACTGGATTCTTTTGTTTCACTTGATTATTTTTAATGGACTTTGATTAATGACTGAAAATGTTGTGTTTCAGTGAGGTGTCTGAAGAAGGGGAGGAAGAAGAAGAGAGGTAGGCCTTCTATTTCTTAACACTTAACAAAAGTTAAAATGTTCCTTTAAATGGAGATTAGTAGAAATACTTTTTTAAACATTTGTAACCCGTGGAGTAGAAAGTTAAGTCACTGGCGTCACTTCTTTATTTCTCTCCCTCCTAACCCGCTCAGTTCTTCAGATGAGAAACAAAAAGTGTCAAAGAAGAAAAAGAAGAGAGAAAGTTCAAGTCCTCCGAAAGCAAAGGCAGGGAGACCGATAAGTGTCTCCTCCAGCTCAGCCCACAGGTATGACACGATGCTGTGATGAAGTCAAACACACAATTATAGACTAATATTTACATTGAAAATCTGACGGATGCTTATCGTAACCTGACAACATATAGAGGTCTGTGAATGTCCGTCCCTAATCCAGTCAGAAAACAACAACATTTGATATAAGATAATCTATTATTAATACCCAGAAGGTAAATTTAGACGTTGCAACAACACAAAGAGGAAAAACAGCAAGTAGACGTTTTTGACAAATTCTGTCAGTTTGTAAATATGAAATTGGGACAGAAGACATAAACTCTTCTATTTTTTTCAAGTTCAACCTTTGACCACGACTTGAACTGGGACAGACAAAGTGACTGCATCAATGTCAAAAGTCTCAAGACACTGTTGATGCAAACTGTAGTCTCTAGAAGGAATATTTCCCTCAGTGTACTGACAGAGCAGGCTGAGTTCTCCTTCTCTGAGCAGCAGCAGCTTGACCTTGCAGTACTGAATATCTTTTGGTTTAAATAAATACATCCTTTATCTGAGTTATATTCATAACAGAATCCACACTTTTGTTTTCCATGTTGGCAAAGAAACGAACTCCCTTTGGACCTTTTTGGATGTCACATAGGACAAACTAGTTTGTTCAAACTTAATAAAAACAGGAAGATAAATCTGTTTACCACTCATTTTCCAGATAGGTGCGTTTCAGTGTTTGCAATATTTTCTTTTAACAGCCCGTCTCCAGCTCCTCTGAGATCACGTCAACCAGAACAAACGGCAAGAAAAGCTGATGAAGGAAGAAAAGGGAGATCGCCGGACAGGAGGAGACAGGGTTACGAGGAGCACAGCCCCCATCATGGAGGCGAAGGGGTGAGGCTTTGAAACATTCAAAATAAAATGTTCCTTAAGGTCACAGCATCCCACATAAAATACAAGGTAGAGATAATTTAATCTATTTTTGTTTTCAAATAACAAATAAATCTTTCTTGTCACATCTAGAAGAGGCCTAATCTGGAGAAGGAAAAAGAGCGACCAAGGGAGTCAGAGAAGAACTCCACCAAGAGGAGACATGACTCCTCTTCCCCCTCTCCACCACCACAGACAGAGAAGGGCAGAGAGAAGGGAAAAGGGCGAGATCTAGAAGCAAACAGAAGGAGACCGAGAAGGGGAGGCGCTCTAGGAGTAGAGAGATGGAGAAAAGAAGGCGCTCCAGGAGCATAGAGAACGAAAGAGAGAGGGGAAGCAGAGAGATGGAGAAAGGTTCAAGGAGCCGAGAAGACGAGAGACAGAGAGGCAGGCGCTCGAGGAGTGTCGAGATGGAGAAAGGAAAGCGTTCTGGGAGCAAAGAAAATGAGAGAGGGAGAGGAGGGCGGTCCAGGAGCAGAGACGTGGAAAAGGTGAGGCGGTCCAGGAGCAGAGATGTAGAGAAGGGGAGGCGGTCCAGGAGCAGAGATGTAGAGAAGGGGAGGCGGTCCAGGAGCAGAGATGTAGAGAAGGGGAGGCGGTCCAGGAGCAGAGATGTAGAGAAGGGGAGGCGGTCCAGGAGCAGAGATGTCCAAAAGGGGAGGCGCTCAAGAAGCACAGAAAGGAAGGATAAAGCAAAGGAGACAGCTCCTCAGAGGACCAGACATGACTCCTCCTCCTCGTCCTCCTCCTCATCCTCTTCACCCTCTCCTCCTCCTCCTCCACCTAAACAGGATATCAGGAAGGAAAGGACTAAGGAAAAAGACAATAATAAGCAGGACAGAAAGACGAGGCACGACTCCTCATCCCCTTCTCCTCCACCCGAGAAAGAAAGGGCGAGGAATGAGAGGAGTGGTGAGAGGGAGCGCAGGACTGATAGAGATGTGCACCCCAGGGTGCAAAACGAACGGGACAACAGGAGGGACACTGGAAGGAGACAGGAGAGAGAGGGGTCTCCCTTGCAGCAGAAAAATGACAGGAGAAGGGACGGACACCCATCTCGAGATTCTCGGTCGCCCCCTTCGCGCTCTCCTGTCGCCAATGGGCGTCAAAGAGAAAGGGAGGACGAGAAGAGGAGGGAGGATGAGAAGAGGAGGGAGGTTGAGAAGAGGAGGGAGGACGAGAAGAGGAGGGAGGTTGAGAAGAGGAGGGAGGACGAGAGGGACAGGAATCTGAACAAGCAGAGGGAAAGAGAGATTGGTCAAGAGGGCAGCAGAAAGAGAGACGAGGCTCCCCGGCCGGCTGCAGAAAGCAGACGAGATGGAGCCAGAGCTTCAGAGAAAAGCAGAAGTGAAAGAGTGGAGACAAACACGAGTAAAGAGAAGACCAGAAGCCCCTCCAGGAAGGAGAAACAGGAGGTGAAACCGGCTGAGAAAAAAAGGGAGAGCAGCAGTAGTGGTAGCAGTAGCAGCAGTAGCAGCAGCGGTAGTGACAGCGATAGCTCCTCGTCCTCCTCTTCGTCATCTTCTTCCTCTTCCTCCTCTTCCTCTGAAGACAAGGGGAAAGCGAAGAAGGCTGGCTCGGCAGGCAGAGAAAAAAGCAGCCCTGCTAATAACACCCCTTCTACCATAGGCGCCGCGGTTCAAAGGTATTTAGCCAACGGCAGTAAGGAAAGCCCCCCCGCTGCGTCTGACAGCAGCAGACGAGCTCAGAAGGAGAGGGACGAAGGACGAGACAAACGGGAAAGAGACTCCCACAAAGCTCCTGCCGTGAGTAACTCCTCCAACAAAGGTCAAGAGCGATACAGTCCCACGCAGGTCGACAGCCCCAGCCCGCCTCCGTCCCCTACCAAGCGAGCAGACGCCAGCAGAAGCAGCAACAGACACTCCCCCTCTGAGGCTGAAGCGGTGAAAGCGAGGGCGGAGGTGAAAGACAGGGAGAGGGGGCGAGACCGGGATGCACCCAGAAGGCCAGCGAGGTCCAGCCCCTCCACCAGGAGGTCACGCTCTCCACCCCAGAAAACCGCCGCCACCACATCCCCACCACGTCGCACTCCGCCGAGGCAGTATCAGGAACCACCCTCCAGATCCAGGAGAGCTTCTCCACCGCCGTCCTGGGCAGACCGCGATAGAGAGAGGCAGCGGGACAGAGACAGAGACAGGGACAGGGACAGAGAACGGGAGAGGTTCACCAGGAGGAGCAGGTCGAGGTCCAGAAGTCCGAGAACGCACATCAGGCCCAGGTCCAGAAGCCCGAGAAGGAGAAGCCCACTCTACAGGTGAGATGACACCTGCTGTAAATTTGCTGGATCGATGCTGTCTGGCTTTTCTTGAATGTTTCTTTGGGTATTCTTTTTTTTTTTTTTTTTTTTTTTTTTTTACATATGCCAATTTTTTTTATTTTATTTGGACTAAACGAGTCGACAAAAAAAGCTGTAACCGGCTGTAATTGCTGCACCTTTATCCTTGGCATAATAAGAGGAGAGCAAGCCTTTTACCTGGAATGATTGGCCTTTTATGAGTCAGCAGTTAAAAAAATAAAAAAAAGGGGCTGCGTTATTCATTAAGTTTATTTTTGTGAGCGAGAAGAATTAAATTTCTATCAAGTGCCTGAAGCTGCTTCCTTCTCTTTCAGCAGTTTAATAAACAACTCGCCACTGTTGATTCTTCCACCATTTCTGCTTTATCCTTTTTATGTCATGTTCAGCCTCCCACCCTCCCTGTTCACTAGAGAAAGCTCCTGTTGTGAGGTGTATATGCCAACAGGTCAGGAAAATTTCAAGTGGGGAAGCCTATCCTGAAGTTTTCAGGAGTGCACGTGTGAAAAAGGCTAAAGATGTCACATTGACCGCATCGTTTTCAGTGATTCCAAAAAGGATCACATTTTCTTGGAATTAACTGTTTCATATTTCCCTCCCCAGGTCTCGTCCTTCTCCACCACGCCGGAGGAGGAGCAGTCGCTCTTTGTCCAGAGAGAGAGCAAGAGAAAGGGAACAAGAGAGAATCAGGCAGAGGGAGGTAGAAAAAGAGAGACAAAGGGAAAAGGAGCGTCTGCCCCCAAAAGAGATCCCCCCGCCTCGCAGGTCCTCCTCATCCTCCTCCTCATCCAGCTCCTCCTCTTCCTCCTCGTCCTCTCCCTCTCCACAGCGCGAGAGGAAAGACACAAAAGCGCCAACAGAGGGAGACAGAAGGGATGAAAAAGAGGACAAGCCGAGAGAGGACAGAGAACAGAAAAGCCGTTCCTCTTCTTCACAGCGTCTTTCCAGGGAGTTACCCCGCGCTCCGTCGACAACATCCGCTGGAAGAAGCTCCCAGTCGGACTCCAGGCGCCCGGATGTGACCTCCAGGAGGTCTCCAGCCAGCAGCCAACCAGAGAGCAAACAGTCGTCTCGTGGTCCAAGCAGGAAGGAGGAGTCACCTGTGCCCGCACCTCAACAGTCAGACCAAACAGTCAGGAGTAGTGAGAGCGCTGTGAACGGGAAGCAGGCCGCCGCAAACAAAAAACCCAACGCGAGCAGCAGCTCCGGCTCCAGCTCCTCGTCCTCATCCTCCTCTTCTTCGTCCTCTTCATCCTCCTCCTCAGACAGCTCGGACTCTGAAGCGGAGCAAGAAAAAGGGTGAGCATGGGCAGGGGGCCAAAATCACAACATTAAACGCAGAAACATCCAGGCCTGATCAAGTTAAAAAAGAAAGTTCTTCTGACTCTCGTTGTGTTTTATTTTTAACAGTAAAGACGCCAAAGCTCAAAGCTCTTCTTCATCATCGTCTTCATCAGAGGAGGAAAAGGAAACTAAGGAAACTAAAAAAATCAGGTAAGAAGAGAACTGCTCATAAGGTTTAAAATCACAGCTTCTTAGAATCAGAATCTGGGTTTATTGCCAAGTACATTTACACTACAAGGAATTTGACTTGGTGTATTGGTGCTGAACAATTAACTAATTAATTCTGTCCTGGTTAATTACGAGCTGCCGTACATTAAATTCAGTGTCACTTACAAAAAAGCAGATCTGGAACTGGGAAAGGATCTTTCTTTCAAAGGCCACATCTTTGATTTTTTTCTTATCTCATCAAGTTTATTTTACTTCATTCTCCGTCTTATTTTATACCTTTTTTTTTTTTTTTATACAAACTTCTCATCACCATAGCAACGTAACACCAACCGCCTACTCCCCTGGTTTCTTACTCTACCCTGCAGCTTGCCTTTCTCATCTTTTACTTTACCTAACCCACTTCACTTTGTCTCTTCTGTTGCTTAAAAAAAATCATCCAATAAGGGGCATGAGATGGCCTCCATTAAAGAGAAGTCGTTTAACTATCAGTGCGTTTAGGGGGAGGATTGATTATGATAGTTTGTCTGCAGGAACTTGTGTGATCGTCAGAGCAAATCACGGTTTGCACTGATCAATTACAGGCTTATATTTTAAATCCTTGGCGAGCTGCCCAAGTGAAGTGTTGATGTGAGAAACGCTGATTAGCCGATCAAGCATACTTCACCAAGCTAGCTATGATTGACTGTTGCGTGTTTTCCTCACAGCCCTGACCGGCCGGGAAGAGTGCCAGCCGATTCACTGAGAGATTCTCGCTCACTCAGTTATTCACCTCCGAGGCACATGAGAGCAGCGGCGCCGTCCTCCCCGAGCCGCAGGTGAGGAAAAGAGAGTGAGGCAGCAGCTTTAAACTAGAAAGTAACCTCTACAAACGGTGATGTCAGAGTGAGGTTAAACTTCGATATGATACTAAAAGGCTGCATTGAGCGTTATCATGAGATGCTGAAGCTTCCTAATGAGCCTAACCACGAGTCAAATCTTTGATGTGATCCAAGAATTGTGATATGTGCTCTCTTGCACCCCTAGCTTACTTAGTTGGTCACTAGGCATTGCTGAAAGAAGGGGTCGAGTGGAAGTTAAATTTGCCCCTGGCCCTCTAAGGTCTCTGGCCTCATCATCATCACTGGCCCAGGAACGGTCTCTTGACAGGCAGAATATAAAACGATCTCATGCTCAAGTAATTTGTTTAAAAACATTTTCTCATTCATGGACTTCTTCCTCCTTCTCCTCCTCGGTCTGCTGGTTTCACTGTTTTCATTCTCTGTCACTCTTCCTCCACTCTTCCAGGGATTTTCTTTTTCTTTAAATTTAGATTTTTTTCAGCAGGAACTTGTGGTTTTAAAAACGTTTTACCACACTAGTTCATGAGAGAATAAACCTGCACTACAATCAATAACAGTGGTACAATCCGAGTGCACTCACAGGAGTCACATCAGTGAAGCTGTCGACCGCAACTGCCTTTTAACTATGACGTGTGTGGGCGCTTAAACGTGTCATTAAAAAACAATGACATTTGGAATTATGTGATTTTTAAAGCAGTATTTGAACTGGCTCGGTTGGGCCAGTGGAGCGTCCAATCAGCTGGCCTGGAGTCTTTCAATCGTGCGTCTGGGTCAGATAGCTGAGAGACATTCTTCATTTTGAGCCCCGACCAATCATAGCTTGCCATCCATATTAACCTGCAGGATGTCACTGGGAAAGAGGCTCATAAGAAAGTCATCAAAGCATGAAGTTGTGTATTTTCTGGCTGTGTTGTGAATATTTGCAATAATGAATCAAAACAATGTTTATTTCTCTGCTTTTCGGTAGGACTGAGAGCAGACAGTCACCGAGCAGAACGTCCAGCGGCAGACGAAGAAAATGAGAAGTCGGCTTGACGCGCTTTACTTTTCTCCTCTTTGAGTTGTTTCTCTGTTCGTGGCCGGAGGGGTTTTGAACCGGACGTCACCACGGACATGACGGGCGGCGAGCGGTCAGTCGAGATGAAACAACTGTGAATGATAGTTTCCTGGTTCTCAGCCAGTTACCAACAACGCGTTTGTTTTAAGCAGTGATGACCCTGAAGGCTGGCCTGTACATTTCTTTTTATAAGGTGAATAAGAAATGTGCACAATCACACACACACACACCACACACACACACACACACACACACACACAGTAAAGTAAAATGTATCTAAGAATTCTTCTCTTTGCTTGTACTCTTCGTTGCAGTCTACCTGTAGATATGAGCTGTCTGTATTTTGGTTATTACCATGTAACGGAAACTGAAATGTGGTTAATTTCTTTGTTGAAATGGTAAATAATAATAAAACACGTTGTACATTTTAACTGTGTGAGTGTTTGTCTGTTTTGTTACTGTGGAAAAATGAATCAAATATTTATTTTAAGGCTGCTGCTGCACTAACGGAGCTCTGCAAAGAAAATGATATCCTTTTAATTCCAGGGAAAACTGCAGAGATGAGACTTGAGCTGCTTAAACTAATTATCAATGAGGTGAAATCAATAAGTCTGAGTTTGTTCCTCTTCTCATTTTTGATATTCAGGATGGATTTAAATGTGCGGGTTTCAATCCCTCCCAAAAAGCAGATTATTATTACACCGTTCAGCACTGAAGAACGACTTGTGCATGACCTGATATATACATACACATATTACTCAATGGTTAACTAACCGGATATTCAATTTTGCTGTGTTTGCAATATCACAACTTCAGTGGCGCCATCGGTCTCAGTTGTGTCATTCTTGCGGTTTCATTTACCACAACTCAGATGAAACCAGTTTAGCTTCTCTTGAAACGACCTGAACGCTTGCTGTTTCATTCAAGTTTCAGTTGAAACCAAAACATAATTAAAATGTTTCCATATAAAGGTACAGACTATTTTAAAAAAAAAACACACACAAAGCAACAGCAAATAAGGCCTGAGGTTAGGTCTAATTTTAAAACACATGGACTTTTTCTCTATATTTATATTTGTTTAATTAATCAGTCACTGCAAAATAATAAGTATATATTCTTTCAGTCACCACAACTGTCTATTTATTTATTATTGCTGTCATTCATTCACTGAACAGCAATTGCTCTGGCCACTTTTTGCATATTTCTCTCTCATATCACCTCAAATATATTGTTGTTGTTGTTGTTGTTTTTGTAAACGCTGCTGTTTAAGATTGCTGCTAACGAAGTTTAGTTGTGTCCTTGTATACAATGATAATAAAGATTCTATCTCTCTATCTAGCTATAAACCTTTTTACAATTAGTAATCTTTAATTTTAGTTGTTAAGGGGTCTAATCTGCACCCATTCATTTAGTATTCCCCTGCATGTTTATAAAAACAGAAACCTTGCGTTGGCCCGCTTCAGTCGTACAGTACAGGTTTTTCCCACATGACCTGAACGCAGCGTCAGATGATGAGAATGGGTCATCAGCTGCAGACAGTCAGGTGTGGCCGACTCGGCGGGGAGACATTCCGACCGGAGCCGAGATTCAGAGCACTCCTCCGGGAGAAGAAAACAAACAACAACGCCTACCGCGGACCTGTACGCAGGAACTACGGACAGAGCACTGAGTTCAACGAAAAGATAAAAAGTAAGTTTGTGTTTGTTGGAGAGTTTGTTCAAAGTTTCTTCAAGCAGTGAGAAGTTTTCTGACGTCTTGGTGTCCGAGTCGGGCCGGGGTCAGGCCCACGGATCGTCGCTCCCGTCTAGCTAGAAAATCTGGAGGTTTTACTACAAATTTGTTAGCAGAAGCAGCGGCACGCCACATTTAAAACACTAATTATCCTTAATATGACTTGATTTTAATCGACTCGCCAGGACGGCTACAGAAGTAAGAAATGTATTGTTTATTGTTTCATAGCGTTTATGAAATCGCAACAACGGGGTGTTAAAATGTGATTATAGAAGCTAAACGTCCAATGACAACGTCTTAAATGTGTGCCGAATTGAAGAACACCCTTTGAGACGTTATCACACGTACACACAACTAATGTTAAAGGCTTTTTGGAGTATCATTATATCGAATTACCGAAAACATGACAAATTTCGAGCGCGGTTTCGCGTCAACCTAGAAAGAGTCGGACAAGGTGAGTTGCCCCTAACAACCTTGTTTTAACTTCTCCTTTAGAACTATATCAACAACGTTTAGTGTCGTTGCTAACCTTCTTTAATCGTTAACCTTGATTTTTGATTAAAACGACGGTGCTTGTTTTCGTCCTTCTGTCTCCTCACCGATGACCTCTCGCGTCATTTCGCATGATGCGCCAAACCACGTTAAAAAAATCTAAGAAAAAGAGATGTGCTTGTTCTTGGGCATGTAGCCTACCTTTAACTAGTTTTAAGCGAATGAGGACGTTTTCTCAAACGGTGGGTGTTATTCTTTAATTCGGCATCCTAAGGTATTTAATAAAGCACTTAATTAAGCTTTAAACAAGCAATATGATGTTGTTTACTAACAGCTGTGTTAAAGTCTGTTGTTAATCTGACAGGAATTAAAGCAGTTTTTTGGATCTTAAACGGAGCCGAATTGTGTGAAATTAAGTTTTAATTTCTAGAATACATAATGTAGTTTTGCTGTTCCATAAATAAATGTGAAAACGAAAGAGATAGTTGTCCTGCCACCAGCTACAAGGCTTTGGATATCTCATTAATTTCTTTGAAAGGCATCGGCAGCCTTTCCTGTTTTCATGGAAAATTGCCCATACTGTTAGCAACCCAAGCTCCTGTTTTTACTTCTCTATTTGACCCCAGTGAGTCAGGAGAAAAGCAGGGACTGCTGTCAGGGAGCTTCTGATGTTGCCACCTAGCTAACCCTGTTAAGTTATAGGATGGGGGGGGGGGAGGATAAAGCAGGATGAGGAAGTTATATTTAGTGACTCAGCTGTTGTTTGACAAGCAGGGAGGTACTTACAGGAGGGGCACACACACTATGCAACAATAAAAAATGTTTATGGCAATACAGTGTTTGCTTTTCTCTAACGTCTGATTTTTTTTATTTTTGTCTCCTGTAGTACCTTTTTAAAGAAGCGAGAGTCCTCGTCTTGTAACGAAACAGGGAACGGTTGCTAATTCACACACCCACCAGAGGAACTGAAGAGGAAGTAAGGGATCAGTTTAAAGGAACCTCAGCAGATGTAACCACGACTGAACTGGAGCTCTGTTTCTTTTCTTCTTAAAAGGGATGGCGTTAATGAGTGAGCAGTGCAGGAGCTCGGAGCAGTCACTGGATTCATGATCGTTTGTCATCTCACTCGTCCATTTGGCTGTCAGAGAAACGACCACAAAATCCCTCGACCATGGAGCCTCAGCTGTGGGACTGACTCTCAGTGTGTTAATGCTCAGACTTGTGTGGAAAAACATACATTCAATGTGGGGCCGCATCCACAAGGGAGAACACTACACTGACACATACTGCTGATTTTGAAAAAAGTGGATGCAGAAATCTATGAGTCCTCATGATTTGGAAATCCCCAAAGAGTCACTGGGTGGAACTGGAACTAAGGTGGAAGCATGCGATCGCCGTCCGCCGTCAAGAATGAATCATTAGTGCAGAGCTGTACAGAAACGCTTCATTTTCTGCTCGCTGCTGCGGTTTCACTTTAAAACCAAAAGGAAATGAACATTAGCACTGAATCTGGAGGATAGAGCCAAAACTGGAAAGTGCAGATTTTTAAACTGGAAAAGTCCATTCTTCCTTGGCATGGGAATGCCTGATTTTTGGACGTGCGCCACCCTGAGCTCGTAGCATTTGGAAGGTGGAAACAAAAGCAAAAAAAACAGCAGGGACATAAAGAGTGTCCCCCTCCTCCTCCTATGAAACTGATTTCACTCTGACATCCAGTTAGAAGCCGTCCAAATGGCGGGGAAAGACTACAATCATCTCTTTAAACTGCTCATCATTGGAGACTCCAGTTAGTAACTTTTCATTCAGATCTCAAATCAAAGCATGTTATTCATGGAGTCCCAGAAGTGACAAAGAGTCAAAGAATCATTTTTTGTGTATACTAATATACGTTTGTTCCCTTTTTTTTTTTTTTTTTTTTTTATGATTCAAAATCACTACTCGCTTACAAAAATTGGGAATTAGATCCATTAGATCGTTCCGCCTGCTCCCCAAAACTGGCTGTAAATAGCTGCAGAGTAAGAAGCTCGATGGTGAGAGCTTTTTAATAAAGACAAAACATCGCAGTGTTTGCAGCCATTGATAAAAACATAAATTTTCCCTCGCTTTAGAGTTGAGTGAGCATCTTGTCTACGTTCAATATCGTTTTCATGAGCGTTTGTTAACTGCTTTTGAGGGATCAACACAATAACTAAAACTATCTCTACAGATCGAAGAAAGATCGTAGAAAGATATCGGCAAACATTTTGGTATCTGATTTTTTTTTTCTCTCTCCCCGTTATCACATCGATATCGGCCCCAAATATGACACATCAGTCAGGCCCGAGCTTTAACCATGACATGACGGGATTGGTTTACGATGTATAGGCGTTCTGTCATCTCTCTGGATTTTTTTTTTCTTTTTTAACAAAATGTTTATTGAGTTTTAAACATTTTTCCAAGACACACGATTACAATTAAATATATTCTAAGAAAAAAAAGAAGGATATACACATGCACATATATACACATTCATAAAATATATTTATAAAATTAAAATATAATAATACAAAATAAAAAAATAAAAAACTTTTATTACAAAATGTTGCAAATTTTTTTCTGTCTATATTAAATAAAAATAACCAGATGGAGTACATTGCCATAGATGATTTGTTCATCACAAATATTCTGCCCTAGAACAGTTTCTGCAAAAATGTCCACAATTACAGACATTGCCAACTCTTTATCCTGAAGAAAATTAATATATAAGCCCCAGATATCTTCAAATAATCTCTCTGGATTTTTAGTGTAGTGTCATTTGTTGTTCTGCCACAGTCGACACTCTGAGACACAAGACGTAGACGTCTGATTGGAATCTCTGATCTGATCCTCTAAATCAGACTCATCCAATTAGACAAACTCGACATTACATCAGCTGTCCAGACTTTTCCAAAAAATCAATCTGGATTTTGACCAGAAACAGGGATTCTGTCTGGCAATCTAAAACAAGGTCTAAGATCGAGATCAGACCTTAGTCCTGAGACGTTTGAGGTCGTCCTGCATCCTGCAGCAGAGAGTTATATTTGTACAGTGATTAGATTTCATTACATCAAGGCAGAGCAGGTTTATTTATAAAACACATTTCAGCAGCAAGGCGATTCAAAGGGCTTCACACGGCGCATCAGAAGTATCAGTGCAGTGAAGCCTTGCGAAAACTCAGACCACTGACTCTTTCACAGACGGTTTCAGGACCCTTCCCTCCTCTTGTCTCACAAGTTTCAGCTCTCAGATTGTTCGATGGTGAATCATTTTTGAACCGAAAGGTTCCTCTCAGCGTTGTCTCTGTTCCACCTCCTTTGAACAAACCTTTGACCCTTTTTGTCTTTAATTCCAGATTTCCATCAAGTCAGGCTCGTCACTTCTGGGACTCAACTTTAAATATTTATTTCTTTACATTTGACTTAGACGCATTTTCTTCTTTACCGTGCATTTGAAAGTTTTTTTTATCTTCTTCTTGGGTTGGATTGCATTAGATGTGACTTTTTATTACAGGTCAAATCTTGTGAGGTATTTTCCAACATGCTGCTGATTCATTCTGTCAAGTTACAACTGGTTTTACACACAGACGATATCATTTTCTCCACGAGTTAGCTTGTTTTTATTTCCAGTACTTTAAAAAAAAAAAAAAGACCTTTTATTTCTTGCTTTTCTTTGTTTTCTTGCTCCTTGTGTGTTTGTGACATTACATGAAAAGGAGGCTGTCACTCATGACAGGGGTGGTCACATCATTCTGATAGGAAACTGAAACACAACTGGCTGTTCTTGATTGGTCACATTCATGTCTTCAAAGTGAGTTTTCTAATCTCGTCCCCTCTGATCCGTTTTTCTCTCAGATGTGGGGAAAAGCAGCCTGCTGCTCCGCTTTGCAGACAACTCCTTCTCTGGTGAGTTATCACGGCTTCCTGAAAGTCACTCCATACTTTTAGATTATCCTTCATCCCAGAGGAGGTGAATCAGTGTGTGGAGGACAGAGTGGGACACATTAGGCTCCGCCCTTAAAGCTGAGTGAGATGTTGAAACATTTCATCAAGTCGGGTCATGTCATGTTATCTCCCGCAGAGCTGTTCTTACCTGTCAGGAGCTCGGCAATCGGACAACATGCAGATAATTTACTGCAAGAGCTGTTGTATAAATATCTCATGTTTCATTTTTTTGATTCCACAAAGGTATGCTCCTTCAGTAAAAACTCATATCCTGCACACTCTGCTTACCACACAGATCATTACAGTTATTTTTAGCCTCCTTCTGTCTGCTGTAGGTGAAGAAGGGTGTTGCTGCAGGTAGAGTTTGTGAGGTTCATCTAAACTTACTGCAAAGTGATTTGGACATAGATTTTTTTTTTTTATTGCCCCAATGAAGCTTTAAATAAGCCTGGAAACACAACATATATACATAAACATCCTCATTAAGTAAAATGTCAGAGTGAGTGTGTTTACATCGAAACGAGTGTCACAGTTTAGTCTCTAGTTTCTCCTCTTGTAAACTTCATATCCTCATTTTCATAATAAGCCCAAATTCCCAGTTAAAAAGAATATATACTAAGCACGATTACTCAGAAAGGAAAGTGAAATCCTGTGTCATGGAAACTTCTTCTTACTTAGGTTTTGGAACGTCTCCAAATACCTGCACAGGTGCAGCTTATGATAAGGGGTGTCGGAGTGCCGGTAGTCTTGTGGTTAGTGTGCGCGCTCTATGCAGCATCAAGCCAGAGGAATTATGAATCTAAAAAAAACAAAAACATCACAGCTGATCTTTGATTTGTAAATGATCATGTTCATTTAAAAATCAAGTGTTGATTTTTATTATCCATCCCTGCACAAAAAAGATTGTATATCACTCTACATGTTCTTACACCAACAGCATCAAATATCATGCAGTAATCAGTCACTGAGGTTATTGAAGGTCACCGTTTTCATACCTTGAAACGTGATAATCCTGAATATGAATTCAGCTGCGATGCTTTCGTCCATGTGAACACCCTCTGACCTCATCGTCCAGGAAAAGTCTAAACATCTGTGTGGGTGTAGAGGGGGGAGTCTGAGGGGGATTGATTTGGCAACGATGACATGCAGCTGCTACAGCACGGATTAGCCCGCGTCATGTGATTTATATTTTTTCACACCCATCGAAATTGTTTGCAGTGAATTAAAAAAAAAAAAAAAGGGTTGAAAAAAAAAAAAAGACTGTGATTGGTCACAAAGCAGCATCAGCATGAATCTTTATTCTTTACATGCATACCTCAAAATAATCCACAACCCTCTGCAGCAGTGACAGGGAGTCATACAAGCACCCATCGACAGTGACTGTAAATCCTTTTTGAAGCAAATTTCAGTTTGCAGATTAAACTTGACACAATGAAGGAGGAAGAAGATTACCTCTGTACTGCAGATGAAATACAAATCAAATCAGAGTTCTAATCCTTGGTGGTTCTCTGGTCTCGTGCAGGAAGCTACATCACCACTATCGGCGTCGACTTTAAGATCCGAACAGTGGACATCGATGGTGAGCGGGTCAAGCTGCAGATCTGGGACACGGCGGGGCAGGAGAGATTCAGAACCATCACATCAACGTACTGACAGAAACATGGCCGAGCTGATTTTTTTTCTAAGCTTTCTTTCCGGACGTGCGTGATTTGATTCTGTTCTCCTCTCGGTCTGCAGGTATTACAGAAACACCCACGGAGTGATCATAGTTTACGACGTGACGAATCCAGAGTCGTTTGTAAACGTGAAGAGGTGGTTAAATGAAATCTCTCAGAACTGTGACAACGTCTGCAAAATCCTAGGTGAGTCAACTATGGAAAGAGGAGTTCTATTATTTTTAGACCCTCAGGCCTTTAAAAAATAAATATAATCTTGGGATTTAAATGACTAATAGATACTTTAAGTGTTGCTTTAGCCACGCCCCTCAAAGCTGCCTGTAAGGGCATGCAATGCAAATGTACACGATATAAGTACGTTCACTGGTTTGAAAAACAGTTTGAAAAAAATGCTTCAACAGTCCTGAAAAAATGAAATCAAAGCTGCTGCTGTCCGTTCTCTCTCAGTGGGAAACAAGAACGACGACCCTGCCAGGAAGCAGGTGGAGACTCAGGACGCTGTGCGATTTGGAGAATCGATGGGGGTCCGGGTGTTCGAGACCAGCGCCAAAGAGAACATAAACGTAGAAGAGGTCAGAGGTCATTGTGTTGACATGTGAATGTTTAAGATGCTCTTTTCTCTTACACAGAGATGTTTTTCTTTTTTCTTAAAGTCTGCTCATCTTTCAGGTTACACTGAACGTTCTTTAAGTTAAATTTGAGACTTTCTAAAAACCATTTAAGAACCCTTAAAATGAAATTTAGTGCAATGTTTTGGTGAGCTCAGAGACTTCTTTAAAGGCTTTATATATGTGATAGAAATCAAGTCTATCCTCTGAAAATAACTCTGTGAGTCATGACTGTCTACAATGGGTGTAACACCCGAGTCCCACTGTCTGTGATGTTTTCAGAGTTTTCAGAGTCCTATCTTCACTTTGTTTACATCGCCAGGACGGCCGGCTGACTCCTCCCCTCGTGTATAAAAGTTGTTTAATTGAGGGACTAGAGAAAAGAAGAATAACATACTGTACTCACTGCTTAACTGTGTTTCTAGATCACGCTCATTTCAGGTCAATTTACATGCAGTGTGAAGATACCAGCATAATAAAGATCACTAGCATTAGCATGCTAACACAACAATGCAGCGCAAGTTGTTTTGGTTTCATGCTGGTGCTCAAGGGTGACATCTGCTGGATCAAAAAATCACATATAAAGCCTTTAAACTGGTTAAAATGATATATGTGATCTTTAATAATCTCATAGGTTCATAAACTAACTATTGCAGCTGTGTAGCATGTTTCAGTCAATCTGAATGCTCAGTATCTTTGTTGTTTGACTCAGATGTTCATGGCCTTCACCCACATGGTGCTACGGGCCAAGAAGCAGAGCCAGAACCGAGCGGAGAGGGAACGAGAGCGAGAGAAGGACACGGTGAACATCAACGCCCACAGAGACCGAGACCGCAGGAAGAGAGGGAAGAAGTGCTGCTGAAACCCGGACAGACACACCGAAGCTAACTCAGCGCTCATCGCTCGCACAGAAGGCGCCGAGTGAAGAAGGGGGGAAAACGTTGCCTTAAGGAGAGGAGTGTTTCCTCCTGCAGACGTTTGAATCTGTGCGGCTCACTGTCACAGCGGGCTACAGGTCAGTGAATGTAACCGAGGAAATCTGGAGGAACAGTCTGCACTGACTCGTGGAGCGGGCCTGCAGGTTAAAGGATCATTCTGGTGTTTTTGAACTTGAACTGCATTTACTACAAATCACACATGAAGCCCTCTGCAGTGTCAGAGTGAGGAGGAGGAGGACGAGGCATGTTGGTACTTTACAGACGCCTACCTGCCCTGATCACCATGACGATTTCTGTTGACATTCATTATCACAACAGGGTGAATCCTTACTTTTTAAGTGACCCTTTGCCTTTCAAGCAGTGCCAACATTAGGATAACATTTTTCCACTTGAACACAAAACATCCTGAGCCAGATCAGCGTCTCCTTTCTCTCTCATATCCGCGCTCCCAAGATGCCGATTCTTAATGTCAACATTTACTCTGAATCACAAGAAACCTTTTGCACAGGAGAGGAAATTCTATCCTGATATCGACGCCCCCCCGAGATGATTGATTCTAATATTTTCAGTGATCCATGGCCTTTTCTCAAGTGCCACTATTAGAGTAAAATCTGAACAGAAGCATAAAAATACATACTAGCAAAGTAGGAGGAAACTCTTGCGCATCAGCCACTCAACAAACGGAGGTCGGTGCTCTCAGAGAAGAACCTTAGACGTTCAAAATGTGACTCAGTGGACTCCTTCTCTCAGGCAGGATCGAAAGAAAGTCCTGGAGCAGAAGAATCCCTTCAGACAGATGTATTAAGGTGCAAAGGACTAACGTTTGGATGCACTTAAATACATTTGTCTTGAGTGATTCTTCAGCTCCAGTGCTGATCAGAGAGAAGGAGTCCTGAATTATATTTGAACACACATACACCAGGTTTACATGTTATGATTCTCTCAATATTCTGCTTTTTAGAGGAAGGAGTTCTCATATTTCAGGGACCGTCTGCCTTCGATTAAAGCTCCCTCTGGACCGACGTGTGTAATCAGAAATATAAAATAATCATCGGCAGGTTACCTTGAAGTTTAGAGCTCATGTTCCTGCACTTCAAGTTTCAATGACTTTAAAAAAAAGTGTCTTACAAACTTTACCTGATGTGATGCTCTAACATCAGCTGAAGTGTTTTTAATATAACTGCAACTTTTGATTCTTTTCATGAAATATTAATCTGCTAATTGTTTTCTCAATTACTTCTGTCGACACACTTAATAAACTGGTTAAGACAGCCCTAGGCTATTACCTCCCAAACCAAGAAAAGGAAGGTCAACACCCTGAAATCAAGTTACTTTGAAACTCTTTTCCACAGGATGAATTCTAAACGTCCTCCGCTTGTCTTTTTTGTGACATCACCAAGTTGAAATCTGCAAAGTATTTAGACAAACACCATGAAGCCCAACTTCTGCTCTGCTCTTTTTTTACTTTCAGCAGTTGCTAAATGAGTTATTTTTCTGCCCAGTCACTTGTAAAGGGGGCGGTTAGCGTCGCAGCTCGTCTCCCATCTTTCATCTTTAAGGACTATGTCTCCGTTTGTCTTCCTTCTTTAGACAATCCATCACGGAAAAATTGTGCAAAAGTGAAACCTCCGTCTGCGCCTCTTTTCCTCAAACAAGTGACATGACAGAAGAGGTCAGAGCAGACGTGATGGAAGGGAACTCGAGGAAGTCTCTGCAGGACAATTTTTAATGTTGGAGGTGATATAAAATGCAAACGACTTCTGTCCTGTGAGGCCGATTTTAAAAATGAATCTAAGAGTCTGCTTTGAAATACAGCGGAGAGAGTCAAAGTGTATTTGAGGGTAGGTCGTGCTGACAGAGGGTCCAAAAACACTGGGATGGTTCTTTGAGTTTGCACTAGAGAACCACTGTAGGGACGTTTTTTTAATTTCTTTGTTTTGTCTTAATCCAGTCAGAGTATTTGACCACTCAAAGGGAAACTGGGGAACTGTAACTGTGACCCACTAACAGGTGTGACGAGTGCAGTCTGTACGGCCTTCTTTTTAGTCTGAACGAGGCCAGTAATCCAGGACTACAGTTTGTGTGAAACCTCGACACAGTACAAGCCTAAAGTGTCTATGTTAATAAGATGTTGTTGTTTTTTTAATGTCGATCTCTGTTGCCTAGCAAAAGTGTCCAAATTCAAATAAAGCAATAAATCAAAAGCTTCTGTTTTCATCACATTTTTTTTTAACAAACCAGGAATGGCTTCTCCTCAAAGGCTGTTCATATCTGTGTCCCATTCCAGCGGCCGCAGCCTTCGTGGGCTGCATTTCAAGACCGAGTGCGTCACACCGGCGAGACAAGTGCTGTCCCAATTCAGCGGCTCCTTCGAATGCGGCCGAGAAATCATTCATTTTCTTACTTCATTGTTATGTTTGCTATGTTTAGTGTTACTTTAATATACTTTTTAATTAATGAAAATCATTTAAATTAAATTCAGATATCAGCTGGTTCTACTATTATCTTATTGTTGATTTTATGCTAATCTAATATACCAATCCATAAAATGTATATAAATTGAACACATTTGGTTAATTTAAATAATGTTGTTTATTTTGTTTACCTGGACTATGTATGAATTCTCTACAGGTGCAAACTAAATCACAAGAAAATAATCTGACCTTCAACGCTGTCACACACGCTGCTTTTCCTCCCTCAAGAAAATATTTAGACTGCACACTATTTACTGTACTGCCAGCTACCTACCTTAGAGACCAGAAAATAACCAGACCTGTTTGAATATTTAAAATTATAAATAAAATGCTGTGACTAAATCCACAGAAAACTACAGTCCCAGTGATTAATGAGTATCAAGGAGCCACTGCTAGTAGTTTCTCACAGGAAAGAAAGGTAAGAATATCAGTAGAAGAGTAAATCGGAAGCAACTGCGCTTTCACTTCAACCAATCCTCATAGCTTCATTACACCAAAATACCTCCAGTTAGTCTGATGGAACTAAGAAAAATGACTAAAACCTAATGTTAGTGTCAGTATGAAGAGTATTATTACAACCCTGCTTCACAGTATACACAAAATGTAACCTCTATTGTGTAGATTATCAAAATGAACTAGTATAGCTATAATGAAAACAACGAGCAGAAATCAAATTAAACTTTGATTTATTAAAAGAAAACAGAGGTAAAGACTATTTACATTTATTTAAAATCTATCTATCATATTGTATATTTAAATCTGGGTATTTACATTTGATTTGATTTTTTTTTTTAAAGGGAGTTCCTGCTGTACTGCAGGATAAACCTGCTGTTCAAATCGGGGATGAACGCACTTCCTGGTTCCTGCAGGCTGACTCACAGCTGACAACGGACTCAACTTCACCGACTCCAGGGCTTCTCAAACTGGGGCCCGCGGACCTCCTGGAGCCCCACTATAAATGACTCAACAGTTTTCTCGTGATTTCAGCCCACTAGTGTTTTTTCAGCTGCCTTCCTGACGACCCTCATGATTCAAAGAGGGTGGGTCCTCCTTCAACAAGAAGTCAAAATGTACATTTAAAGTCACAGTGACGGATAAAATAATAAATGTAGGCCTATGTACGGTGAAGTTCTGAAGAACTTTTATTTAGTTGGATGGACTTCAAATCATTTTGTTACATAACATTAGGTTTACTTCATGTTTTTGACTTGATCTTACATAATAATAATAATAATAATACATTTAGATGGAAAAGGTGAATGATATCAGGTTGTATGGATCTAAATACAAAACAGGGATAGTGTTGTACTGTCGTGCAGCCAACAGGTGGCGCTGTTCTCCATTTATCTGCTCTCAGACTGACGTCACCTTCATCACAGACACATCTCGTTTTCCAAAACAACAAATAAATAAATGTTAAATAATTTCTTCAGAATCGATACAGCCTTAATCGATTAATTACTTAATTAATAATTTTAAAATTGTATTTTATAATTCTAATGTGTAGTTATAATAAATTCTCTCGATGTGGTTGCTTAGTAACCATGGGATGGAATTGACAGGTACATTCGATTTGAACCCTCGCTTTGATGACGTCAAAGAACGGTCAAAACCGAGGTTATGAAGAGAGACTGTTTGAGTCATTAGAGTTATTCACTTTAACAAGTGGATCATCATTGTCTCGCTCCGCCCCATCGAGACTCAGTTTGAGATTTCATCATAGAACACTCGAAAGCATTCTGATATGATTCAAAAATCTTTAACGAGACAGTGTTCAACAAATTATATAACCAACAGCAACAGCCTCTGACTCATGGGGGATGGGGGGAAAAACAGTCTCGTAATGAACACAAGCCAACAAACCATTCTACTGTAAATCACACATTACAAATACTAAGAAACACAACAGCTGCTTTTTAAAGCATTAAACAGCTCAATATCTTCAGTTTATCGAGTACCACAAAGCATGCTGGGAAGTGACAGAACGTTGTACAGTACAAGTGTCCAAGAAAAAAACTCGGAGGTTTTTGTTTGTTCTCATCTATTTTTCTGTATTCATCTGTGTGTAAGAGCACATTTATAAATTCAACAGTGTACTACCCAGACAACAAAGGTCCAGTATTCAGGTAATCAACATCTATTCAAAGTTAAGAAGATAAACCTTCTTGTAATCATTCTGTTTCAGCTCTCTCACTCACACAATGATATTCCACATCAAATGGTCTCAGATTTTGTGTGAGGAAAAATTAAGCAGTTTATTGTGGATAGTACTTCATCTTAACATGAAACAAATATAACCTGAATTATTTAAATCATTAACAGGTCCGAGACCGGAGGTTGCCCCTTGGTGCTGAAGCTTTATTAACTGAGAAAGATACACATATTACTCATCTTCAGAAAAGTCATATATTCCCAACAACTAGATGTTATTTAAATGAATTCTGATTTTGGCTAAATATTTCTTATATGCGATGAAATGGCTCAGCAAAGCACCCTCCTTTTAGTTTTAAAATGTCTATCCACTGTTGAAAATTAAAGATCACAAATCAGAAATTTATAAAAGAATATCTCCAAATTAGCAGACTCCTCCTGTTTTGTTTGTTTTTTCTATTATTCAATATTGATATTTGTTCAATTTGTATACTTGTTTATTTTTAATTCTCTACTACAGTAGACGTGGGAAGTTATCTTGTGTGCACATTAAAATGATCTTGTGGTAATAAGTTATCTAATGCAGACAAGGTGGATGATAATATGAGCACACAAGATAATGTATATGTTTTACCTTTGGGACTTTAAAGGCAGGGTTGGTCATTGTAGACGAAGCACTGTAATAAATAACTGTATATGAAGGTATGTGGCACGCTCTCAAGATGACTCTAATGTTTCCGCCTGAGTGAAGTAATAAAAAGACAAAGCTGCATTTAGGAACAGATGGTATTTTATTGAGGTGATTTTTGTCTCTACAGCTCCTGATTAAATCTTTATGGTGAACTCTGAACCTAAACGCTGCACGTTAAAATATCAAATGTAAAAAACATCACTTTTTACAGAGTACAAAAAACTAAGCAGGTGTCAAACATATATTATGTTGATGAGAACCAAAGACGACAGCTTCAGTGTTTCTGTACATAAAAAAAAATGTAATATGTTAAAAGTCACACAAACAAACCGACGTTACAGCGAAACAAACACTTCACATTCAAACCGAATCACACAGAATCTCTCAGTACAGTAACGGTACAACTACGCTCACGTGCCGAGAGTTTAACACGGTCGATAAAACGTTTCATTTACAAAAAAATATCACAATTAGAAAATTAAGAGAAGGTTTTAGAAAAAATACACTTTAAAAACATGTCGACACTAAAAATATCAGCGTTCAGACGTCATCGGTGGCTTAAGTTAAAGTCCAAGGGTCACTCCTCCCGCTGACGTCTCAGACTCGACCACCCCAGCTCCGACTGAGACCTGCTGGATCATTATCTACTTGATTATATTCTGTTAAAGAATGTGAGGATGGTGGAAGTGCAGCCAATGAATGAACGATCTGTGAGTCATTAGTGTCACAATAAGGACAGTTTACATCTCCATCAGTTAGCCTATCATCTATGGAAAGATGAAACAAGCAGTACATAGCCAGTACAGGTGTTCAATATCTTGTTGCTCCTCACATTGAGTCAAATAGGACGCAGGAAGCTCGGGGGAACTTGTAGTATATGCTGCATGACAGTGTCAGTACATAGTAACCCAGAGGTGAAGAAAAAACTGCAACGTATTGAGATGAAAACAGGCTGTCCTTTGTGTACTTTTCTGTTACAGTGATTTATCCATTTCTGTCCTCTTACAGACTGAAAGGAGTTTCCATCAGAGCAGAGGATTCACTTCCTGTCAGAGCCTCATACTCGAGTCTCCGGCAGGATTTGCACAAGTGTCAACTGGACATTCAGAACTCATTCTGTAACCACTAACAGGACTTTATGGGGTCTGTTTAGACCAGTCTCCTCCTCTGCTCGACTGACATGCTGTAATGGAGGGAGATGTTATGGAGGAGCTGCTTGTTGATGAAATGAATACACTAACTGCAGCAGGCCAAAGACACCAAAGTACTGGAGGATACCTGCGGTCGCCACCTCCCTCCTCCTGTCAGCGTTACCACACAGCTCCTCGTCGCACCGTGGTTGTGTTGTAGTCTACGTTGTTAGTTTGACACCGTACCACATGCTGCACACACCTCACACTCAGCCGGCACACTGACTCACTGACAAACACACCTCACTCCTGTTGTTAATGCTGGTTGCTGTTGGTACAGTTTGTATTCAACTTTTGCACCGTTTAGTTCAACCTTCTGTTTCCCTTGTTTCAGGCCTGAAGAGCCGGCTCATGACAACATGAACAGTTCTCTTACTGCATGGC